AAGGTTGAAGTTCGTCACTATAAAGGAGTAAGCTTAGATTGGCAACAAGATCCTGCCAGAGCACTACAATACACTAAAAATGACGTTGAGAAGTTCTATCAGAACTTCATGCATAAGTGTGGTCAAGAGGCAAGTTCGTTTGGTCTCTCAGACGAAGAAAAGACCAAGACTTTCATGCTGCGTGGGTATCGCTGGATGACCCCATGCAAAGTGATGCACTTCAGCGACACATCTGCTACCTTTCTTCATAAACAACGTGGGCCTGATCTTGATGCTCTTAGTAAGAGATATTTCATCCACTCCTCTCTTTTCAATCTCGACCTATACAAAGATGAGTGGAAGGCGGTCACAGACACATGGCATAAGGTAAAGTATAAATGGTGCAAGGACATTCCACTCTGGAAACCAAGTATGCCTATGCCTTGGGATGCTCCCTCCGAAGTTGCACAATCTGGATCCAATCGTCTGAGCTTATCTCTGCTGAGCCAATCTCAGCTTCTGCCCCTCTTGAAGGTCTCCCATCTGCTTCTGAACAATCGCAAAAATGTCTCCATCGATTCTTTCAATGAATTCAAAGTAGATCTGAACAACAAGCTAGATAGTCTGTTCAACTTGGTGGCATCTCGGCTCTCTAAGGATCCACCTCCATCATCTTGATCATTCTGAAAAATTAGCTTAGGAACTAATAAATTTAGGGTAAATTAGTTCGATGAATTTTTGGTTCTGAACAGTAATGCTTCTTGTTGTTGTACACATTAAACAATTCAGTTCAATACAACTCTATCTTTTCTTCAACTATATTAAGCTATGGTGTACCCTGATCTGGCTGTGATTCTGTTATTTGTTTTCCTCATCTTTTTGATGATTACAAAGGGGGAGAAATAACAATGAATTCATCAAATATAATAAATATTATAAATAAATAAAAAATGACTAAGGAATAATAAAGTAAGGGGGAGAGCATATACTAAGGGGGAGAGTTGTAATACATTAATAGTATGCGAACCTGGCCTAAAGTATGATGTGATCTGATTAAGAAGATTTAATTTTATCTGAAACAATTTGATCAATTATATTTGTCACCATCAAAAAGGGGGAGATTGTTAAGTCAAACGAAGCAATTCCCAGAAAGATTTTGAGTGTGACAAATATAATGCACATGGTTATCCCTAACAAGTGTGTTAGTGCTTCAAAAGAACATAAGTACAGGTAAAATGAAGAACAAGCATATGCATAAGATGATCCAAGACGATAGGAAAAACGTTAAGGTTAACATAAGCATCCAACAAGGCCAAATCAAGAACAAGGCAAAACTGTGTCAAGCATAACCTAAAACACAACATAAAGATGCAGACGAAGTCTAACCATATACAAGTTGATTATACAAAAGGAAAAGTCAATGCGTTAATAAAAAATGCTCAAACAAAGGTCAAGGCTTGAGCTGCATATAGACTACTAGACGCAGACGAAAGTTGTCACGCAACAACCTGAGGAATCAAGTTTCAAAGGACAATTTGAATATCGTCCACACTCACAGGAGAACACACGAAGTCATCATAATTGTGAGAAGAAAAGAAGAAAGGAGAAAATCAAGTGCAGAACTGAAAGCATGCATGTGTCAAAAAAAGTATATTACTTTTTCAAATAAGGACCAAACTCCATAGCTGTGTGGCCTGAAAAGGACAAAAAGGTTCCTAGGTCTCTGCTGAATTTAGACACTGTTGCTATCAAGACAAGAAATACTTCATGCAAGGTCTATCACAGGAAGCAACATTTAATGCAAGAATCTGAGCATTAAATGAAAAGATCAAACTAGTCGTGAACAAATATATCTACTTCAATGGACACTTGCAACAGGCATATTTCACAAGACTATATATAGGTCTCAACATCAAACCTTAAAACGCTAGCTAATTGGTCCGAAATGGATCAAGAGATAAAAAAAGTGATATCCAACCCATGATGCAACGAAACTAGAGATAGAGCATATAAAGTCAAATATACCATGGAGTATTCATCTCTATAAACTAAGGAGTTTCAAACATGTGTATCTTAGGAGCAAAACCTTAGTGAGTGTGCCATCTTACGTATCCTCTCCATGAGAGTAAACCAAACACTCAATCATTGTAAAGACCAAGGTTGCATATCTAAGTGAGTGTAGAAACCTATGTATCCTCTCTATGAGAGTAAATCATACACTCAAACCAAACCTGGCTAGTTAATATCATAATGCCTAAAGAGGCTAGAGAAAGAATACTTGTAAAGCCTGGAGGGGCTTGTCAAAGACTACTCACTGCTAGCCAGAAGTGGCTGCTAAGAATATACTAGTGCTGGTGAGTGAAGCTGGCAGGCCAGGAGTGGTCAAGAATACTTGGGAAACTAGAAGTGGTTTAAGAATACTAGCGTTGATGAGTGAAGTCGACGAGCCCAGAGTGATTGAGAATACTTAGGTCCAAGAGTGGACGAGAATACTCGAATGTACTTAATTTTTTATCTAGTGGAACCCTTGATGGAATCATGCTTTGGAGTGCAAGAGGTGACATACTCAAAGATCCAAGAGGAGTTGGCTAGACATTAAGGTTTGGGCCTGTCAGGGCCCATTGGGCCTAGGAAGGCCCAAGTTGAACTTTTCATGGGCCATATTTTGTTATAGCTATTTTCATATGTTTTGTATACATCATGTTAGTATAGGTATCATATATTTTGGTCTTGTATTTTGGACCACATAGAGTAGCATTTTAGGTTTTAGGCTTGTTGGGCCTAGTTTTGGGCTTCATGGGCCTTTGGGCTTTTGGTACCCAATATTGGGCTCATTTTCATTCTTGTAATTTTTCCTTTCCATTGTATTTGTTTGACCATTGTATTTAGGTCATTAGATTAGGAA